ACTTCTATTATACCGCTACTACCACCACTCGTACTACTCCCACTACTGCTACTACTAGCTTGTAACTACGAACTACCAAATACTACTACTCCAGCTACTACTACTACTACTACTACTACTACTACTACTACTACTACTACGACTACTACTTCTACTACTACCATCACCACTATTACTGCTACTAACTACTACTACTACTACTACTACTACTACTACTACTACTACTACGACTACTACTACTACTACTACTACTACTACTACTACTACTACGACTACTACTACTACTACTTCTACTACTACTACTACTACTACTACTACAGCTACGAAGTACTGATTACAAACCACCAGCTACGAACTACGACCTATATTATACGAATTACTCACTACTCACTACACCCAACTAGCTATCAACAACAAGTTGTTAATTATGCCCGGACCACTATTCATAACAAAATACAAACTACTGCGTACAATATACGAGTTCCTAACTACGAGCTGCTAGCTTCGAACTGCTAGCAACTTGGTCGCCACATGTAGTTCAGTAGTATTAACAAGAAGAGCTACTTCTCCGGGCAAAAGAAGTCGGACTGATGGGAAATCTCTGTGGCGCCTTAAGGGCAGCTTATCGCGATTTGCGAAAGTCAGTTTTGGCAGAAGTGTGAAGATCCTCGATGAGGTCTCACCCGGAGAACTAACCCTTTCCGAAGGATCCCCTGGAATCTAAAAGGATTCGCTAGTTCACCCGGAGGAGTACCCCTTTTCCCGGAGAAACAACCTTTTTCCCGGAGAGTGAACCCGTCGCCTCCCCACCCTCCCCATCCTGTTGGAGGCGGAAGGGGCACGTGCGCTGGATAGGAGCAAATCCGCTTGAAATCGGTCCCCTGACCTCTTCTGTGAGCGAAACTGGCAGGTTGTTCGAGCCGCGTCCTGCCGTGGCGACGAGGGGGCCCTTGTCTCCCCCCTCTCCCCCCTCTCCGAAACATGCAACGCCTTGATTTTTCCGACCCGCTCCCGAATCTGATGACATGGTTTCTCATTCCCCACATGCTTAGTGGGGTTCTGGTTTTCTTCCCTGCCTCGTCGCACCCGCGGCCCTCACACACCCTGCCTCGTCGCACCCGCGGCACTCACACCCCACCTTCCTCCTCCCTCTCCTTTCACACAGCACAGCACAGCGCAGCACAGCGCAGCACAGCACAGCAGAGCGCAGCACAGCGCAGCACAGCACAGCTCAACACAGCACAACACAGCACAGCACAGCTCGGCGCAGCACTGCACAGCACAGCAAGCGCACCACAGTGCAGCAGAGCACAGCACAGCACAGCTCAGCACAGCTCAGCAAAGCACAACACAGCACAGCACAGCACACAGCACATTGACACACAGCACGTACACAACACAGCACAGCACAGCTCATCTCAGCACAGCATTGCACAGCACAGCACAGCACCTCAGCACAGCACGCCTCAGCACTACACAGCACAGCACAGCACCTCTTGACACAGTAGGGGGTGCGCAGCAAATGGTCTTTGAACGCGGCCGCTATCCACGACACTGTCGCAAAGCCTAGCAGGCGTGGCACTTTCTGGACACCATAGGGGGTGCGCAGGGGGTGGTCTCTCAACGCGGCCGCTATCCACGACACTGTCGTAAAGTTGCAAGCGTGGCACTTTCTGGACACTATAGGGGGTGCGCAGGGGGTGGTGTCTCAGCGCGGCCGCTATCCACGACACTGTCGCAAAGCCTAGTAAGCGTGGCACTTTCTGGACACCCTAGGGGGTGCGCAGGGGGTGGTCTCTCAGCGCGGCCGCTATCCACGACATTGTCGCACAGCCTAGCAGGCGAAAGCCTGGCAGGCGTGGCACCTTCTGGACACTATAGGGGGTGCGCAGGGGGTGGTCTCTCAGCGCGGCCGCTATCCACGACACTGTCGCAAAGCCTGGCAGGCGTGGCACTTTCTGGACACCATGGGGGTGCGCAGGGGGTGGTCTCTCAGCGCGGCCGCTATCCACGACACTGCCGCAAAGCCTGGCAGGCGTGGCACCTTCTGGACACCATAGGGGGTGCGCAGGGGGTGGTTTCTCAGCACGGCCGCTATCCACGACACTGCCGCAAAGCCTAGCAGGCGTGGCACCTTCTGGACACCACAAAAAGGTGCGCAGGGGGTGGTCTCTCAGCGCGGCCGCTATCCACGACATTGTCGCACAGCCTAGCAGGCGTGGCACCTTCTGGACACCATAGAGGGTGCGCAGGGGGTGCTCTCTCAGCGCGGCCGCTACCCACGACACTGTCGCAAAGCCTAGCAGGCGTGGCACTTTCTGGACACCATAGGGGGTGCGCGGGGGGGGTCTCTCAGCGCGGCCGCTATCCACGACACTTGTCGCAAAGCCTAGCAGGCGTGGCCTCTTCTGGACACCATAGGGGGTGCGCAGGGGGTGGTGTCTCAGCGCGGCCGCTATCCACGACACTGTCGCAAAGCCTAGCAGGCGTGGCACCTTCTGGACACCATAGAGGGTGCGCGGGGGGGTGGTCTCTCAGCGCGGCCGCTATCCACGACATTGTCGCACAGCCTAGCAGGCGTGGCCTCTTCTGGACACCATAGAGGGGGCGCAGGGGGTGGTCTCTCATCGCGGCCGCTATCCACAACACTGTCGCAAAGCCTAGCAGGCGTGGCACTTTCTGGACACCACAAAGGGTGTGCGCAAGGGGTGGTTTCTCAGCGCGGCCGCTATCCACGACACTGTCGCAAAGCCTAGCAGGCGCAGGGGGTGGTCTTTCAGCGCGGCCGCTACCCACGACAGTCGCAAACCCTAGCAGGCGTGGAACTTCCTGGGCACCATAGGGGGTGCGCAGGGGGGGGTCTCTCAGCGCGGCCGCTATCCACGACACTGTCACAAAGCCTGGCAGGCGTGGCACCTTCTGGACAACATAGAGGTGGGCGCAGGGGGTGGTCTCTCAGCGCGGCTGCTATCCACACTGTCGCAAAGCCTAGCAGGCGTCGCACTTTCTGGGCACCACAAGGGGGTCCGCAGGGGATGGTCTCTCAATCCACGACACTCCCGCAAAGCCCGGCAGGCGTGGCAATTTCTGGACGCCACAGGGGGGGCGCTGGGGGTGCGGTCGATATCCGTTTCGGGCTCGCAACGTGTGGCAGGCGTGGCACTTTCTGGACGCCACAAGGGGGTGCGTTGCGGTTGCGGTCGCTACCCGTTTCGGCCACGCAAAGCGTGGCAGGCGTGACACCTCCTTGACGCCACAAGGGGTGCGCTGGGTGTACGGTCGCTATCCGTTTCGGGCTCGCAAAGCGTGGCAGGCGCTGTACTTTCTCGATGCCACAGGAGGTGCGCGGGGGGTGCGGTCGATATCTGTTTCGGTTTCGCAAAGCGTTGGCAGGCGTGGCACTTTCTCGACGCCACAGTGGGTGCGCTGGAGGTGCGGTCGCTATCCGTTCCGGGCTCGCAAAGCGTGGCAGGCGTTGTAACTTCTCGACGCCGAACGGAGTTGTCTGGGGGTGCGATCGCTATCCTTTTCGGGCTCGCAAAGCGTGGCAGGCGTGACACTTCTTCGACGCCACAAGGGGGTGCGCTGGGGGTACGGTCGCTATCCGTTTTGGGCTCGCAAGGCGTGGCAGGCGCGGTACTCTCTCGATGCCACAGGGGGTGCGCCAAGGGTGCGGTCGATATCCGTTTCGGCTTCGCAAAGCGTGGCAGGCGTGGCACTTTCTCGACGCCACAAGGGGGTGCCTTGGGGGTGCGGTCGCTATCTGTTCCGGGCTCGCAAAGTGTGGCTGGCGCGCGCGGCGCTTCTCGTCTTCCACCTCTCCTCTTGAGTGGCGTCACCAACGGTATCGGCGGGGCAACGGCCACCATCATCATTCTCACATGCTTCACTTCAGCTATCATCACTCCAGCCACAATTTAAGTACGTGGGGTTCCTCGGTAGCGTAATCCTGAGTCGTTTCTTGGCTGTCCCGGGGTCTGCTCAGGGCTCCGAGAGGCCGAGAGTGGGGACAAACATCCAGTCGCGCTTTCTCGAACAACGCGAGGAGTCCGTCGGGGTCTGGCCAGACCTAGTGCTGGGCCACCTCAGGCCCCCCAGCCACCTCCAGCCCTCCGGGGCGCCCCCGACGTCTAGCCGGGCGTGCGTGGGTGGGCGCTGGCTCGGGGGCTCGAGCTTCCGAGACGACAGCCGGGGCGTTGTTGGTTGGTCCAATGGCAGTCCCCAGACGTGCCTGCGTCGTTAAGAATTGCAGTAGTAGCCCGACCACACGAGACCTTCCACAAGAGACCCGACCCTGGAACCCCAGGACGTTCATCAAGTTGTGCCGAAAAAAATCGTCCCCCCTACTATGTCTTAACTATTTCTGTTGAACATTCCTCCTGGAGGGACAGGCCGACTTAATTCTTGGCATGGGCCTCCACTGTAAGACGGACGGCGCTTGGCCGTGGTCGGCCTTCCTGGGGGCCCTCACTAGGCTCCGGGGCCGACCAACTATAAAACGGCGCAGGATGAAAAGCTGGTCTTAGGAGGCAACTACTGGGAGGTCTTTATCGGAATGGTTAAGGAAGATTAAGCCCCATTAAGGATTCGGAATGGGCCTAGGATTAAGCAGGATTAAGCCGGCTTAAGCCGGATTAAGCGGGATCAAGCTGGATTAAGCCAGCCAGATTTCGGACCAGGGCAAAATCAGAATTTGACCTCCCAGGAGTTGCATCCGAACTGGTCCTGGTAGAGGGATCGGGACACGTCGCATGTCTGGGATTGAATTATCGACACATAAACCCAAAGCTCCAAGCCACCATTCCGCAGCCCCAAACGGTGATTAGCGAGGCGGAGGTCCTGCGTGAACTGCCTGCACACCCCGCCAACCACCGTGTGTAGACTCCAGAGTGGACGTTAGGCCTATTTGGGTAGTTGCTGCCTGCGCAAGCAAACAGCAGTAGCAAACCTTCGCCCTAACGATCAAGTCGTTCAATCCAAGAGAGGCGGGGCGGAGCCACCTTGGTCACGAGCACCAAGCCGCACATCGGCGCAAACAGCACCTGCCGCACGGAGGGAAGTCAGGGCATAGAGGCCTCCCGAATGGGGTCCAAGTAGATCGTGCCAGAGGATCGCGCCGCATCGCCGATGCATTGCAGGCGCATTGGCGGCATCGGCGCGGAGAAAGTCGGGCTCCACATCGCGCCGCATCGCCGATGCAATGAGGGAGCACCTGGCCTTCCCGCATGCGAGGGAGAGCAACAGCGGCGAGCTTCTGTCAGATTTCGGCCTCCGAGGGCACATTGCGAGGGGGATCGAGGTTCAAGGTTTGGGAGCGTTCCCTGACCTCTCGCTGCGAAAAAAACTACGACAGAGGGTTTCGGCAGCTCGCTGCCTCCAGGGGTCCTTGCTAGGCCCCTGGGACTGGAAGAGGAGCGACTGGGGTGAAAAGGAGGTCCCCAGGAAGGGATCCAGATCTCCTGGGGAGCCGCGCTGTGAGAGAAAGTCACGACGTCGGATGCGCGGGGAGGACGACGACGACGACGGACAGAGCGGGTCGCGTCGGAGGCTCGCGAGGAGAACTTCACGCCTCCGCTGAGCGCTTAAAAGGCTATCCTGCTTTGCGCCTGCGCGGCGGAGGGGAAGGTGCACATCGGCAAGCCACGGCAGCGTAAAGCAGCACAGCGGATGCGCCGTACACGCTCCATGCAACACAACGCAGGGACCCAACGGGCCCGATGAGCCCACTGAGCTCGGAGAGCGCAGGGACTGGAAAACTCCGGATTTGACCCTGAGAACCTCGACCTGGGGTCGCAAGTGCCAGCGGGTCTCTGGCACAAAGGGAGGGAGGGAGGGAGGGAGGGAGGGAGGGAGGAGAGTACCAGGGAGGAACGGGGAGGTAAGAGTGAGGATGGAGGAGCGGGGAGAAAGGTTGGAGGCAGGATGAGAGAAGAATCAGGCAGGAGGGCGGAGGGGGTGGAATGGAGGAAGGCGAAGGAGGGCGGCAGGATAGAGGCGCAAAGATTAAGGAGAAAGAAGGAAGGAGGAACGGAGTAAACAGAAGGGACCGAGACTGCCTAGATGATTCCCAGCGGGTCCTCAATGGGGGGCAGATTGGAAACTGACATGGGCCCAATGGAGCTCTTTTGGGGCAGTACGGAACCCTCGTGGGACATCTTGAGAGACTGTCGGACCATCCAGAGGCTTCCTGAAATCGTGGCGGGATCCCCAGGACGACCACTGGGGCCCCCTTGGGGCGCTCGAACCTCGTAGCGGGTCGACTTGGGGCCCCACTGGGCCATCGTAGGCCCATCTTGGGCAGGCCAGCTCTGAAACCCTTCTGAAAGCCCTGGCGCGGCATCTTCACCCTTCTTGAACCCTTCTGGAAGCCTTCTGGGAGCCCTGGCGCGGCATCTTGGAGCCTTCTTGGACTGGCTGGGGCCCCTCTTGGGCGCTTCTTTCTTATTACAGAACGTGCAAGGGATGCAACGGCCAACTCGAGCAATAATGATCCCACACGGCACTTGAAAGGTGATTTCTCCTGAGCGATGTGTTCTTCTCAAGACAGAGGCGCATCTCTAGAGTCTAGAGGCAATGGTATTTACACTTCCGCAAGTCTATACACGCGGAAAGGGGGAGGCAGCAATGCACGGCAGGTAAATCCTGAAGTCCAAGCCGAGACTGGCTTGCACACAGTGCCTGCCCAACTTGAAACTGAATTATTAAACAGCACACCTCTGCTGCGCTCGATCCCCGAAAAGTCTGCGCCCGAGGAATGGACGCCGTCGCGCCCGTGGACGCTCGCGCTGCCGCCCAAGAGGTCTGCAGGTCAAGTTGATAATGAAGCATTCATATAGGCACGCTCTTGCTGCGTGCGGCTACTCGACTTATAACAAATGCGCGCCCGAGGGCCGGACGCCGTCGGGCCCTCGGACACGCGCGCTGCCGCCCCGAGGTGCGAGGGATCGGGGGAGGCAGCGAGAAAGCGTCCGGACGGTGCTCGGGGAAAACACTCGCCCGAGGAGAGGCTGGGGAGGAGGAGGACGAGAAGAAGGAGGAGATAAGCAGAAGAGAGAGGAGGAGAGGACAGGCAGTGCATGATCACAAGGACCACGCATGAATAAGGCACCCAAAAAGCTGAGTGCAAAAAGCCAATAGGCTAATGAGTGCAAACACCCGTGTGCCACGACGGCTCCACAACGCGCGGGCAACGCCTGACGCCGACCTGTAGCCGAAGAAAACGCTTGCGCGCGCCCTCTAAGTTGGGGGCTTCAGCGCACAAAGAGCACGGGCAGCCTGTCCGCAGACTGTCCCCAAGATGGTCCAGGATGCTCCAAAATGGTCCAGCTTCTCTGGCTCTGGCATCGCCGAGACAGATGCGCACGTCCGAGCGTTGCCTCACCCCGCCCTCCTCTGTGTGTCACCAACGGTGGGCCACAACACCTCTGCTGAAAAGTTCAACATCGTGTCGCCAGCGGTTGGCCATGACACCAGGAGCGCGCGCGCACCCATGTGTCACGACGGCTCCACAACGCGCGCGCACGGCCCGACGTCGACGAGCAGCCGCTGGCAACACTCGCGCTTGCCCTCTAAATCGGGGGCTTCAGCGCACAACAAAAAGCACAGGCAGCCTGCACGCAGACAGACCCGCGGGATCGCGAGGAGGCCGAGGAAGAGGAACACGAGGAGAGGGCGGCGGTTGCACGGTTCTGTCGCCATCAGCTCACTTCACGAGGCGGCGGAGGAGGACGAGGGGCGGAGCACAGTCACAGCCAAGCTGCTGCCGCAAGGAGCACTACATCAGGAACCGATCCCCTCCTCGACCACCGGCGGCGCCCGGGGTGCCGAGACGGGCCGCGGAAGGGCCCGAGGAACAGCGAGCCCCTTCCACGGCCAAGGAACAGGAGGAGGACGAGGAGGAGCAGTCGTTCTCCTCGGCGCCGGCCTCGCCCTCGGCGGCCGGGCTGCTGGGCGGCGCCCTGGGCTCCTCGCCGAGGCCGGCCTCGGCGGCCCCCTTGGCGCCCACTTCCTCCGCGCCGGCCCCGCCCGCCGCGACCTCGCTGGGCCATGTGGCTGCGCGGGGCCGCACGGCCGCCTTGCGCAGCCACCCGCCGCCCAGCGCCAGCCGCCTGCGCTCCAGCGCCGCCAGCGCCGCCTCCCCCGGCAGCCGCCTCCGCGGGGGCCGCAGCGCCGCGGCCGACGGCCGCCACGGCGAGCCGCGCCCGGGGCCGTGGCCGGCGAGGATCCACTCGTCCGAGGGCCCCGGGTCCTCGGGGACGCCGCGCGGAAGAGAAGACGTCGGACCTCCGGGCTCGACGGGGGAAGGGCGGCCCAGGCTGCGGCGGCCCGCGTCGCGCGGGGACGTCATGCCGCCGCAGCCGCCGGGCGCGCGGGGGGAGCGGGGCGGGAGGGTTGCGGCCGCGATCACGCGGAGCCAAGGACAGCTTGGGCCAAAATGGATACGGACCCCTCCTGGGCGTTTCTTGGGGCATTGGGCCGTCTTGGGCGCTCTGACGAGCGCAAGAATACACATGCTAAAATCACACAACCTCCTGAGGCCTCTCAGGGGTTCTCCGTCGTAGGAACCGCTTGGCGGCCGCTACGGGCGTCTTGAAGCGTCTTGGAATCATTCAAGCTGTACTTGGACGCTCATTGAAGCATCCTGTCGCTTCCTCGTTCCCTCTTCGGACCTCCTGGTTCTTAGTCGGCACCCCCTCTGGTGCTATCTCGAGCGGCCGGGGGGGGGCATGAGACGGACAGCAATGGAAGCGCAGGGGGAGATCACACACGCACAGCCTCCCACGAGCCGACTGACGGACTCCCAAGAGCGCGTTTCTTTATGTTCGGCGATGACGGGCGTCATGGGGGGGGGGGGGCGGGGGGGGGTATGACGTGACGCCCCCCCCCCCCCGCCCTGTGGCTCCGGCACAACAGCCGCGCCCGCGCGCACGACGCGACGAGCGACGAGCGACGAGCGACGACGACGACGACGCGAGAAGCATGTAGGTGGCGATCTGCCCATTGCGCCTGTGTACACCACAGCGCTCGCGTGCACCACACCGCGCGCATGCACCATAGCGCCTGCGTGCACCGCAACAGCCCTGTGCAACGCACCGCCCGCGTATACCACAATACTCGGGAGTACTACAGCGCCGGCGTACATACACCGCAACAGCCATGTGCAACACAATGCCTGTGTACACCACAGTGCTTGCGTGCACCGCAGCGCCTGCGCACGCCACTGCGCTTGTCTACACCACAGCATCCACGTGCAACGCAGCGCTGGTGTACACCAGTGCCTGCGTGCATAGGACAAGTAGAAGGAGCATGTACGTCAGGATCTGCTGCGGACAACTAAACGCCACGCCAGGAAAGTTCTCCGAATCGAATGCGACGTTTTTCCCTCTTCCGTCCTCCTCCTCCTCCTCCTCCTCTTCCTCCTCTTTCTCTTCCTTATTACCCCCTGTCATGCGGCTTGACATTACAACGCACGTGCGCATCTCAGCGTGCACCGCAATATGGTCGATTGAATCGGTCCACGTGGTTCTCGGACGGCCAGTTTAACTGGGGCCTCCTGGACGCAAGTGGGAGTTAGGGTGATGCGAGCGGACTCGGGGGGACTCGTAGATTCCAGCGGCGCTCCTTTGTCCATGAAGAGTTGTTTTGCATTGTGTTCTCTGGAACCCACCCGCGCTCCATTTTGTCACAAAGATTCCTTCTGAAATTCTATACACAACAATGGTGCTGTGTTGCACACGGCTGATGTGGTGCACACAGGCGCCGTGGCGTACACAAGCACTGCAATGCACGCAGGCCTTGTGGTGTACACTGGTGCTGTGTTGCGCACGGCTGATGTGGTGTACGGAAGCGCTGCGGTGTACACAGGAGCTGCTGTGCCCGCAGGCACGGTGGCACAAACTGACGCTGTGTTGCACGCGGCTGCTGTAGTGTACATCGGCGGTGTGGTGTACACAGGCGCTGTGGTGCACGCGGGCACTGTGATGTACACAGGCGTTGTGGTGCATCTCGCCACCTACATGTTCGTGCTACCCGTCCTCCGTCATTCCTGAGCATTCCCAGACGCAGCCAGCGCGAAACGTGACGTCCCCCTCCCCCCCAGATGATTGCCGTCATCGGCCCGGACTTAAAAACAGGCTCCAGCCGCGTCCGCGCGCACGACGACGATGAGCGACGAACCACGAGCGACGACGACGGACGACGGACGACGACGACGATGACGACGACGACGCCTGCGGACCAGACACCTATGCGGATTCCTACGCGGACACCTACGCGGATCCCAATGCGCACGGCGGCAGTGCCCGGAGCGCACTGGGGGGGGAGCGTTACGTCATAGGGGGGGGGGGGATGGGGGGGGGGGGGGGAGCGGGGGCCATGACGCCCATCATGCCCCAAGCAAGAAAGAAACGGGCTCCAAGCCTCGGGTGAGACAGACACCGAAGGGGGGGGGCGCGGCATACTTTCTACAAGCGCAGAAGGAGCCCCGTGGCCAAGAAAAGAGAACGACGACGAAGAGACGACCAACCGGGACAAACTCTCGAGCTGCCGTCACCTGCCCGCGGCCGACCGCCAAAGAGGCGGCAGCGCTGCGCCACGCCAGAGGAACGAAGAAGAAAGAGGGAAGGAGAGGGTGAGTCGGAATCCCCAACGACCTCACCGCGCGGTCCGTCACCGCACGGGTTTGGGGACCTTGGGAGGCCCCAGTCGCCCGAGACGTCCTCGGAGAACAACCCCAGTCCAAAACCATGCGGTGACCCCGAATCCCCACTGGCTCACCAAGCGGAGTGGTCACCACACCGTTTAGGGGCCCCTCACGGTGGCCAGCCAGCTGGCGCCCAGCGGACGGCAGAGTGGCGCGGAGGGCCTCGTTCATGCTGTTCGCGCGGACCTGTCCGGCTGCGGCCGCTCGCCGTGACGTGTTGGGGGCCATCCCCATCCTCCCTGCGTCCTCCTATCTCCTCTGGTTTCCTTGCTTTGCGGTAATCACAACGGGAAGGATAGGCTTCTGGCTTTTTCCAGCCCCCAGGGCTCCCCCCTTTTGGCCCGGGGACCGACGAAAAACAACTCTGGACGAAAACCCTGTCCCCAGGAAGTGGTCCAGACAAGCTGTGAAGAATCAGAGGCAGCAGCGTGGAATGGGGATTCCCCGCTGCACTGTCCCGGCGGAGAGCCGCGGGCAACGCGTCCTCCGGCAGCTGCTCCTCCTCCTTCTCCTCCGCCTTCTCCCTCTCCTCCTCCTCCCCCTCCTCCTCCTCCTCCTCCTCCTCCTCCCTCCTCTCCTCCTCCTCTCCTCTCCTTCTCCTCCTCCTTCTCCTCCTCCTCTCCTCCTCCTGCCTCCTCCTCCCCTCCTCCTCCTCCTCCTCCTCCTCCTCCTCCTCTCCTCCTCTCCTCCTCCTCTCTCCTCCTCCTCCTCCTCCTCTCTCTCTCCTCCTCCTCCTTCTCCTCCTCCTCCTCTCCTCCCTCTCCTCCTCCTCTTCCTCCTCCTCTCCTCTCCTCCTCCTCCCTCCTCCTCCTCCTCCTCCTCCTCCTCCTCCTCCTCCTCCCTCCTCCTCCTCCTCCTCCTCCTCTCTCCTCCTCCTCCCTCCCTCCTCTATGTCCTCCTCCTCCTCTACTCCTCCTCGCCTCCTCCTCCTCCTCCTCCTCCCTCCTCCTCTCCTCCCCTTACTCCTCTGCTCCTCGTGCCCCCTCCTCCTCCTCCTCCTCCTCCTCCTCCTCCTCCTCCTCCTCCTCCTCCTCCTCCTGCTCCTCCCTCCGCATCCCCTCGTCTTCTCCTGCCCTCCTCCTCCTCCTCCCACCTCCTCCTCCCTCCTCCTCCTCTTCCTCCCCTCTCCTCCTCCTCCTCCCTCCTCCTCCTCCTCCTCCACCTCCTCCTCCTCCTCCTCCTCCTCCTCCTCCTCCTCCTCCTCCTGCCCCCCGAGGGTGGGGATTGGCACCTGTTCTCATGGTGTCCAGCGCCACACCTTCCTCGGGGCAGACCGTTCAGGGCGATGCATTTCATCTGCGGTCAGGGTGAGCGGCTACCGGTCGTTTTTTCCACAGAGGAGGGTGGACGCTGTGAAACCTGTATGGGCGGGATGCCGCAAGGCTGCCGTCGTTGGGTGTAGCACGGCCCTCAGCTCTCTGTGCGGATGCAGCGGGCACTGTGCCTGGGGGTGGACGTTGCGAACCCTGTATCGGCGGGGCTTGCGCTGCGCGCGGCCTCGTCGTTGGGTGTAGCACGGCCTTCGGTCTCAGCATTGCCCTGCTGGCGGCGGCGTTAGCCAGGCGCCTGGGTGGCTATTCCCATGTGGTCTGGCCCTCATGGATTTGCGTTTTCCGTGTGAGGTGGTGGCATGTGCCACGTAAATCCGATCGGGCTTTGTGTCCACTCACGGCTGGGGCCTTTGGGCAGGCCCCAGTGCGCAATGCCAATCGTGCCGACAGGGTGGCCTCGTGCCCCCAATGCACCATGTCGGTTCGGTTGGGCCGCGAGTCGTCCGACGCCAAGGGGCAGCTCTTGTACCCTGTACCGCTTTTCCGCATTTGCGGAGGTCGAGCAGTGTCTGTGTGCAGTCGCTGACTCACTTTCAGCCTACAGCCTCCTCCTCCTCCTCCTCCTCCTGCTCCTCCTGCTCCTCCTCCTCCTCCTCATTCTCCTCCTCCTCCTCCACATCGTGCTCCTGAGCATCCCGCTCCTCGGGCTGTTGCGCTCGCGGGCAGGTTAAAATGTGTCGTCTGGTTACGGTTGCGGTTGCGGTTGCGCCCACGTGCGGGTTGAAATGTGTCGCACCGTTGCGGTTGCGGTTGCGGCCGCAAGCGGGTTGAAATGTGTCGCGTCGTTGCGGTTGCGGTTGCGGTTGCGCCCGCGGGCGGGTTGGAATGTGTCGCCTGATTGCGGTTGCGGTTGCGGTTGCGGTTGCGGCCGCAAGCGGATTGAAATATGTCGCCTGGTTGCGGTTGCGGTTGTGGCCGCGGGCGGGTTGAAATGTGTCGCATGCATTGCGGTTGCGGTTGCGGCCCCGGGCGGGTTGAAATGTGTCGCCTGCTTGCGGTTGCGGTTGCGTTTGCGGTTGCGCCCTCAGGCAGGTTGGAATGTGACGCACAGTTGCGGTTGCGGTTGCGGTTGCGGGCTGGTTGAAATACGTCGCCTGATTGCGGTTGCGATTGCGCCCGCGAGCGGGTTGGAATGTGTCGCCTGATTGCGGTTGCGGTTGCGGTTGCGCCCGCGGGCAGGTTGAACTGTGTCGTCTGGTTGCGTTTGCGATTGCGGTTGCGCCAGCGGGCGGGTTGAAATGCGTCGCCTGGTTATGGTTGCGGTTGCACCGGCGGGCGGGTTGAAGGATGTCCCCTGGTTGCGGTTGCGGTTGCGCCCGTGGGCGGGTTGAAATGCGTCGCCTGTTTGCGGTTGCGGTTGGGGTTGCGGTTGCGCCCGCGGGCGGGTTGAAATGCGTCGCCTGCTTGCGGTTGCGGTTGCGGTCGCGCTTCCTACCGAGCCGGGGGGGGAGAGGCCTGGACACCTTCCTGGGGACCAGCTGTCTGTCCCGCGGGTCATTTTTGTGGACAGCCCCAGGGCCCAGGCGGGGCGCCCCGAGGCCCGAAAACTGCCGGAGAGCTCTGCCGTGATGCCTCCCTGGCGCGAGGGTGTCTGCGTCTGCGCCCTCGCCGCCGAGGCGCCCCGTGGCGCGCGCGGCGCTCCTGCACGGGAGAGTCGGGGCGGAGGTTCCCGCGGAGCCCCTGGCATGCGCCGGGGTGCGCCGAGGGCCGAGGCACCGATTGAGGACCCCTGCCAGGGGAGGCGGCGTCACAGCCCACCAGGAGCCCGAGGGAACAGCCATGAGGGGCAACGCGAGGGGGCCATACATCGACGATGGATCAGCGGCAGGTCTCCGAGAGCGAGTCCGCACGTTCCCGGGCGTGCGGGGCTCTCAGAATTAGAGAAACCATGGATTCGGCGTGTGTCGGGGATTCGGTTTTCTGCGATGTATGGGACCAGGAGGGCCAGGCGGACAGCGACGACACAAGGACGAGGGGAAAGAGGAAGAGGACGACGACGAGGGGGCGGAGGGCCAACACCCCCATCCGTCCTATCGGCCCAAGCCAAGAGCAAGGGCAGAAGGGAGAAACGCATCGGAGTCACATTGGAGCCACATTGGGGCAATCTTCGGGTCAACCAGGGTTCACGGGGTCATCTTGGGGCCATCTCGAGGCAATCTCGAGGACGTCTCGGAGGCGGCATTCGTATGCCACGGAATACCCGTTGGAGGCGGCGTCATGTTATGGCGGCGCTGTTGGTGGTACCGTGGTGTGTTGTTTGTGTTTTGTTGCCGCTATTATTTGTTGGTGCTGTTGTGGTGGTATGCCCTTGGTGTCGTTACTGCTGCTTCTGCCACGCTGATCATAAAATATGAGAATAGTGTATAGTGTTGGTGGTTTTCGTTTAGATCAGACCACGGCAAGCGAAATAGTGTATTAATCTAGCACGGCCGCGAGACATATTTTGTTGGTGTCGTTATTGTTGTGGCTCTTGATGCCGGCTGTGTTGTTAGTATTGCTGTCATTGTCGATTATGTTGTTCCTGTCGCTGGTGTTACTGCTTTGTTGACTCGGTGTCTTCGCCGAAAATTTGTCCCGTCTAGGCTCGTTGACCACAGGGCTGGCCGGGCGACCGGAAAATTAGGTTTCTGGTATGCTTGTTGTTGGTGGTGTCGTCGTCGTTGTTTGTGATTCAAAGAATGATTAGTGTTGATCCTCCCCTCTGGTGAACCTTGCGTTTTTCAATAAAGGTGCTCCTCCCAGGGATCGAACCCTGTTGTTCTATCAGGGAAAAGCTTAACAATCAAAATTCGGTTTTGGCCCCCGATTTACAACCACAGCGGCTCCGGCCTGATACGTCCCCACAATTCGTGTCAAAATCGCGCTCTCGAGCGGGACTTCCCATGATTTATGCTCTAAACGCGCCCTCGCGTGGTCCTTCCTCACAACATCTTGCGGCGCCGTGCCCCCTCGATTCAGGAATCGCGCTTCCGCTTTGGCTTTCCTCGCGATTCGCTTGGGGATCGCGCTATCGCTCGAAACCTTCTTGCGATTCGTGTTGGATCGACGCTTCAGCGACCTGCACGCTCGACCTGGCCGTCTGGGCCCGCCCGACCGACTTGCCCGTTAAAGGTCCGTCCGCCCGACCCGCCCTTCCGGTTCTACCGCTCGCACTCCTGCTACTCACCCCACTCCTGCAAGTTTTTTTCGTGCTCCATCCGTCTCCCTTCCCCCTGTCTCCTCCTTCCTCCCTTCCTTCTCCTGTTTTAGAGGCTGCGCCAACTACACGCGGCAGGCAAGGAAGATACACCCCCAAGGGGGGCAAACAAGGGCGGGTATGAAGGGTTTGGGATACAACTGTTGAATAGCACGCGAACAGATAAAATCAAACTGTACAAAAATGTTTGTCGCTGGTGTTGTGTGCTGTAGCTGTTGCTGTTGTCGTTGTTGTCGTTTGTTGTTGCTGCTTTCTGCCCACTAAAACCTCAGGAAGGCCCTGACAACAGGAAGCACGTAAATGCGACATGCCATGAAACATTTGATGTCGGGCTCTTATCCCTTAAACCCACCTGTGATGCGACATGTAAGGGGTGATCGTCGTAGAAGGTATTTTGGCGGTACGACCCATGACCACATGTGAAAGGTAGACGCGCGCGCCGTTAAAAAATAAGCACCGACGGTATCATTTAGATGGCACCAGTTCGATTGTACCACGAAGGTTGCGCACCATATAGAGTGCAGCAAGTAGATTCTCCTTCCTAAAAACAGAATAGGATCTACCCCCCCCGGCGTTATCACTCCCCCTTTCGGATATGTAAATCAACTATGATTATGACCACATGTCCATCCTAAATATGAAATCACACTGTCAAATGC